TAAACACGCATCCACGAAGCTTTAACAATACCTAGGATTACGGGATCATACGCTCTCCTTCCTGCATCACTTTGACCCATTTGCATATGAGACAAGCATGAAATAGCCAGCCAAATTATGGAATGTTTCGTTAAGATCGCAAAGTGAGGTAGAAGAAGTAAGAAGAATTTCAGCTGACCACTTTTCTTGGTTTAGTATCCGTGGTTGATCGTCTGGAATAATGGTTTCTGGATCTGACGATGTTCATCACATAAGGGACGAACGCTCAGCAAAGAGTCATCGAGGTCGGAGGACGGTGAGCCGAGTTCTACTTTGCACAATTGAATGGACAAAAGCCCAAGGCAACTCTCCTTCCGAATCCGGTGAGGCCAATCTACGAATATCTCCCACCCACCTTCTCAAAACAAATTAAAGGCATGTCAGTATCAAAGAAATCCGTGGCGCATTTCTATGCTGCCCAAGGTTAATCAGTGCAAATAATCTAAATAAAAGAGAGAGTTAAAGAAATGTTGCACAAAATCATTCCGCCGTATCCTGTTTTCGCTCACCAATTGCATTAACCCTGTTGAGTTTGCAGAGACAAAACACAAATATACATGTAGATATTACTCTTACGTTTATTCACTACCAATATTTTATTCTCTGGTAAACCTGCTTTTTATTCCACAACATATCATGAGATCGTTGGTAAATTTTGAATAGAAAGCAATTGATAAATTCGGTATATTTTTTCCTTAATTTAGTGGGAAATCAACCACGTTACTATTTTTGTAAGAAGCAAATAATTGGTCTGATTAATGAAAGGAGCCCATCGTTCTGCTAGGCATTAAACCAAAAGTCAACAGCATCTGTACCAAATTTTCATAAACGATGGGACTTTTAATTACGAAGCCATTGGTTAATCCGGTTGTAGACCCACAACCAAACTCTTAATGCATCACATCGCTTTTACTTGACACCGAATTTAGAAGTTAAATTTTTCTCTAATAGCTACTTAATTATTAGTTTGTTCGAT